GTTGCTTCGCAGTGGAATAAGACTCTGCTTCGAGTTGGCTGAAAGGTGCTTTACAGGCGGGCTGATCCTTCGCTTACGATCCAGAGCGAGTGACGATCTCCGAGCCGAAGGTTCAAGACTGAGTCGAGACTGTGGAAAAGCGTGCGTGCATGAGATACCGACGCTAAAGTGTGAGAAGGAGGAGTAGCTGGTTCCGTCGCTCGCACGTCCACGTTCCGTTGGCGCTGATGCATCGAGACTAAACGTACAAGCGATCAATTTGCAGACTCGGTAAACAGTGGTGCTTCCGAATCCCGAGGCAACCCGAGGTGGCGGTAACCGACATGGTGCTCCCGACACCCAAGCCGACCCATCCGAGCTAGTGGGATTCGTGGGCGCGTCGATGCCAAACAAATCCAGGGTCAGGGTGGGGGTGCTGCGAAACAAGCTCGTGGCGTACGGACCTGCAGCGCCTCTGCAAGGCTGCTTGCTTTCTGGCACCAAGCTGCAGAACAAAGAGGTGGGCGTGGGCGTCAGACGGACTAGTACACGCTAGTGTCCTTTTTGAAGATCCGAACGGAATCCGAATTCATGCGATGAGTGTGCAGCGGCATGCACGTAGACCTAACCGTAGGAGCCGCGGACGGATGCAGGCACTTCGGATGTGGAATGACGGCATCGGCAAGGGATCACGTTTTGATTTAGATACGGCTGCATCAGAGAGTGATGCTGCTGCACCGCCTGTCGATCCGAATGGCGCATGTGAAAACCCCGCCAGGAATTCCGCGGGTCTGGGCTTCTGGAACCTGTCCAACACTGCATCGATTCAACGGAGGCCGTCGCCGGAATTCTCTATCGGGATAATTCGAGTTAGCATCCGAGCAGGCTCTCGGCCCATCAATACACCCCGTCAAAGCCGTTCGAAAGGAAACAAACAAGGAGAGTACTCAGGAAAAGAGGGGTGTGCTCGGTCTACCGTAAGCGTGAGGAGACGACGATCGCCATAAGAGGTCCCATCGTCGGCATCACCGGATCTGTGCACTTTGAGTCTCGCACTAGCGAAAGCAAGCAGATGAAGAGCTTGGATGAAAGTGGATAACGTCTTGCTGCCACCTAGCTCGCATCACATCTGTTCATTCCGGCGAGTCTGTCATATTGAGGACCCGAGACATTGTATGTACAGTACCGTACACGGAGAGGGGGGGGGGGGGCTGCACAGGGAGCCGGTGCCAATCTTAGACGTCGACCACATTGGGGGTAGGTGATCGCTATCTCGCTCACATGCGAGAGACTCCGCCGAAGCCCGGATTTCCTTGAATCTTTTCCTGCGCAAAGATCTCGAGACAGAAGCCGACCACATCCCGTGTGGACCGCGGATCGATGATACCGTCGTCGAGCACGCGGCTGGAGGAATAGTACGAGTCGGATTCAGTCGAGACCTTTGCGTGCATGGCATCGCGGCGCTTTTGCTGGCGCGCCTCATCGACTGGCCTACCGCTTCGGTTGAGGATTTCCCGCTCCACCATGTCCACCACGCCGGCGAGAGCGTCGGGTCCCATGACTGAGGTGCGGCCCTGCGGCCAGGTGAACAGGAAGCGCGGGTCATACGCACGCCCACACATGGCGCAGTTGCCCGCGCCATAGCTTGAGCCGACGATGATAGAGATGTGTGGGACGCGCGAATTGGCCACAGCATTGATGAGAAGCGATCCGTACTTGATGCTGCCCGCCGCTTCAAACTCGCGTCCAACCATGAAGCCCGAGATGTTGTGCAGGAAAAGCAGAGGGACGTTGTTGTTGTTGGCGAGCCGGATAAACTGCGTCGTTTTTTGCGCGTCCGAGGGGTTCAGCACGCCGTTGTTGCCAATGATGCCGACCGGGTGACCGGCGACATAGGCAAAGCCAGTCACGGTGTTGGCACCGTACAGAGGCTTGAAAGCGTTGAAGCGGCTGCCGTCGGTGATGCGCGCGATCAGTTGCTCGATGCGCCAGGGCTTCTTGATGTTGGCTTGTGCCACATCCAGTAGCGAATCCATCGAGTACAGCGGCTCCAGACTCTCCCACTTTGGAAGATGCAGAGCTTCGGGGCGGGAAATGCGCTCGGCCCAGTTGAGCGAGGCGACCCAATAGCGCGCTTCGGTGATCGCCTCGACCTCGTTGTTGACAAGGCAGTCGGCAACGCCGGAAACGGTGGCGTGCTTTTCAGCACCACCGAGCTGCTCGGCGGTAGTCTCTTCGCCCGTTGCCATCTTGACCAGCGGTGGCCCGCCTAGGAAGAGCTGTGCCTGCTCGCGGATCATAATCGTCATGTCGGACATGCCAGGCGTGTAAGCTCCCGCTGCGGGACACTGACCAAACACGACCGAGCACGTGGGGATGCCGTCCTGAGAGCGCGTCGCCAAGTCGTAAAATTGGCGCGCACCGTAGTGGAACTCGAACTGCTGCTGCAAACTAGCGCCCGCGCTGTGCACCAGAAACACAATAGGCAGACGGTTTTCGTGCGCGATTTGGCCCAGTCGCTGGATCTTTGCAATCTGCGCGCGGTTCGCCGATGCGCCTTGTAGGGTTGGAATGTGGGCGATGCACATGGTCAACGTGTTGCTAAGGATGAAAAAAGACGCATGCCGAGGACAAAGTGGATAGTGAGGTACAAAGTTGGCAAGTCAGCTTGCTCGTCCCCGAAAGCAACAGCGCCCGCTTGCACGCACAGCATTGGACACTCACCTTACTAGGCCGATGCCGCCGACGACGCTGCCGGAGGGGGTGCAATCCTTCTGATTGTAGCCAGCAAACGTGCAGAGTTGCAGGAAGGGAGAATCCTGGTCCAGGAGCAGCGCAATGCGGTCGCGCGCCAGTAGCATGCCACGGCTCAGGTGAAGCAGCTGTGTCTTTCCGCTTCCCTGGTTGAGCACGCTCTGCGTGCGCTCGGTCAGCTCATGAATCAGTGCCTCGTTGGCTGCACGATTCGCCTCAACTTCTGGGTCCCGTACGAGCGGTGGAAGCTCAAGCACTGGTAACCTGAGAGCCGGGTGCGCTGGCTTGAGCGGGGTTTCGGGTGTCTGAAGCGCGTTCAGCGACATGGTGGCGCGTGTGGAAGACAAAGTGAGATCAGAAGGAGATGGAGGTGAATAGGAAGCAGGCTTTGGCTGGCGGCGAGATGCAAATGTTGGAAGGGAAAGGGAGAATGTGGACGAAGCGGGTTGCAGTCTAATAAACAGTAAGAACAGCCGAAGTCCTCGGGACGAAGGCAGCCTTGAATTTATCAATCTTCCATGGCGATCCCAAACCCCACATGGAGAAGGAAAGAGTGACGAGCCTCTGCACTCACTGCACCCGCCCTTCTCCTGCTACATCCTAGCAACCACGGGCTTGTAAGCAGCAAAGGCTGTGGCACGAATGCTCTGTCTGCATAGACTTATGGCTTGCCGCTGCATGGCTTGCTCTGGCCCTCCCTTGTGAAAGGACTTCGAAGGAAAGAGCAAGCAAGAGGATCTCTCTTTGCTTGCTATCCGAAAGCATTCGACACTGCGTCAGGTGGGACATTCGCGTTATCGAACGTGCAGTTGGAGCAACAGCTAATGCATGGCGGGGCCTTTGCCGGGATTCCGTGAGCAACAATCTTAACCCAGCCGATACAGTCTTGTACCCACCGGACTGAGCTGCCGACGCATTTGAGGGAGTCTTTCCCGCTTGAATTCTGTTTCCCAAAAGACGCTGTTCAACCTCGGTAAAGCTAGGGCCAATGACAATACACTCAAAGGCGCGATCGCGATGACGTTTCAGTTGCGCATTACGATTTCGTGAGAGCTTCTTATCTCTAGCGGGGGTGAGAGGATCGCGCGAGGTAAGTTGCGCTGGCGTAGGAGGATCAATGTTGGGATGCGGGTGGGGGAGAGGAGAGAGGGAGGCGCGGGCGGCTGCTATTTTTTCGACCGTCAGGCGGGTCAGACAACGCTGCACAGTTCGAGCTACGCATGAGTGCTTGATTGGCGCTGATCCTCGAAGCCGCAGCTCGGCCTTGCTGTGCTGCTTAAACCAATGGGCCTCTGCACGAGCTTGATCGAAGAGCGACGGGGCGAATGTCAGAGCTTGCGCTGTATCAGTGGGGCTGGTCGTTGCGCGGATCCGCGTAAGCGCGGCAGCTCGCAGCCGGCGAGACGTGGCCGTGCGAAAGGAGGCGGTGGCGCGGGCGCAAGTCCAGAGGCAGGCAGCGACTCTATCTGACGGCGGTATTCGCAATGAGTTGCTCGCCTCAGGGCCGCTGCGTGACGCGGTACCCGTCCTGCACGTGCTGCGAGCACGACGTGGGATGGGCGGCTAAGTTGTTCTGTCAAAGCTGGTTATATCCAGTGGATTAAATCAAAATCTCCGCGGCTGCCGGTTGATTGCGAAGGCCGGCTGGAATTTAGGCTAAGCTCGGCTAGCCTCCTCTCCTATCCGAGTTTGCGGAAGCAAGCGAGTTTGCTGCTCGCCACAATCGCCTCTGGATGGTGGCGCACTGCGTGGCGCCGTGACAGTGGCGATCGGCAACCCTTCCAGCTGCGGCAGCGACTGTGAATGCAGCGGCGGAGACCATGTCAGGCCTCTGAGCAGGCAATTGCAGTGACTGCAGACAGCAGTACCGACGATTTGAAACGTGTTGCGACTACACCACGTTTCGAATCGGGTGATGCTATCAAGCGGTGATGTCAAATGTACGGCCCGATTCGGCCCGTTGATCCGAAGGTACGCCAATCATCCGGTCTTTGAAGCGCCTGGCCTCCATGTTCTGTTCGGCAGTGTGGCGACTTTGTCCCACCGCCAGCAGCAGTTCCCCAGCCCGAACCTCTTTCGTGCGCGTCGATACTGGCCTGAGACTCAGTATATACGCTGGCCCTCCGGGGACGCGATGCGAAGACAGGTTCAGCCTGTCCACAGCCTGACTTTCTTCTCCCTCTTCTGCACAGACCTTCATGTGTCGTCAAGATACGAGAATGCCAAATACGGATGTACAGGCTCGTACCTCGACGCATTCACACGCAATGGCGGCCGACAACGTTCCTCGGACTGTGGAAGAGGAGGGCATATCATCATACGCCTCATCGCAAACTGGCTTCACCCCCGTCATGGATAGCTACACGCCTTCCGCATCGGAAAGCCCGAGAGCCAGCACACCGCCAGAACAAGACAGATCCGAAGTAGGACACCATCGAGACATGATCACCGACAACGACGACGATAAGCTTAGGGCCCCTGGCGCATTGTCCGTGGATCTCGAGGCGGCAAAGCAGCAGCAAGGTGCGTCCGAGACAGCCGGCGGGAGGAGTCTGGACGAAAAGGCACGCCTGGTCGATTGGGAAGGCTTGGACGACCCGAATCACCCGCACAACTGGTCGGTGGCGAGACGAGTCTATCTCACCTCGCTGGCCTGCGTGGTGGTGCTTGCGTCGACGTTTACCTCGTCGATCACCTCTGGTGTTTCGCAGAGCCTGATGGCGCATTACGGCTTTGGCGAAGAGGTCGCGGCACTCACCATATCGATCTTTGTTGCGGGTTACATCCTGGGTCCTTGGCTTTGGGGTCCTCTCTCAGAGCGCATCGGCCGGCGCACGGTCTTCTCTGCCTCCCTGCTCATCTATACCTGCTGGAATGTGGGCTGTGCGCTAGCACCAAACACCGGCGCCCTGTTGACGCTCCGCTTCCTTGCCGGCACCGCAGCTGCCGCGCCGCTCAGCAACTCGGGTGGTCTGATTGCCGACCTGTGGAAGACACGCGTCCGTGGCATTGCTACGGGTCTCTACGCCTGCGCTCCCTTCACTGGTCCAGCGCTTGGGCCCATCGTCAGTGGCTTCATTCAGAACTCGGGCGTCAACTTCCGCTGGGCCTTTTGGGTCTGCGCCATTTTCTCTGGAGTCTGTTGGCTGTTGGTTGTGCTGACGCTCCCGGAGACGTATGCGCCCGTGCTACTAAAGCATAAGGCCCAGCGTCTGCGCCGCCAGACAAGAAGCGATCTCTACCGTGCACCGCTCGAGCAGCATGCCGAACTCACGCCATCGACGCTGCTACGCACCGTGCTCATCAAGCCATTCATCTTGTCGGTGCAAGAGCCCATGCTGCTCGCCTCGATTTTGTTCATGGCGTTCTTGTACGGCGTCGTATATCTGCTCTTCGAAGCCGTGCCTATAGTCTTTGGCCAGGGCTACGGCTTCAGTGCGGGTATAGTGGGCCTCATGTTCATCCCCTTCGCGGTGGGTGCATTTGGTGGCGTGCTGTTCTACATCGCCTTCTTGTTCCCGCGATATGCGCGCATGATTGACCGTGCTCCGCACAACCAGATCGCCCCCGAAGAGCGTCTACCAATGGCAATGCTGGGAGCGCCGGTGCTCACCATCGGCTTTTTCTGGTTTGCCTGGACCAGCGATCCAAACATCACCTTTTGGGCCCCCATGCTTTCCACCGCGCTGCTCGGCTTCGGCATCTTCTTCGTTTTTCAAGGTCTTTTCAACTTTATCATCGACGCCTACACCGTCAATGCGGCCTCGGCGCTGGCAGCCGGCGTCATCGTGCGCAGCTGCTTCGGCGCCGCCTTCCCATTGTTTGCAAGACAAATGTACGCTCGCCTGGGCACCAAATGGGGGTCGAGCTTGCTGGGCTTCCTTGCATTGGCCATGACACCGATTCCGTTTCTGTTGCATCGTTACGGAGCTCGGCTTCGCGCCATGTCGCGGAACACCAAGTAGGCCAAGTCACGCGAGGCGATCCAGCTTGCCTCAAGACTTTGCTCAGGATACGTACATACTTGATAGACGACGACTTTCATTAGACCCATTCCAAAGCATTTGCAATGCATTTGCAAAACACTGCGGGCTTTGCAGGTCGCGAACATCACTGATTGAAGTATTGAAATCGTAGAGACATTGTTTCGAATCAAAGCTTACAGTTAGACGCTTGTGTCAAGGACTCCTTGCTCTGCGACGAGGTCACCGTGACGGCCCTGTATGCCAGCCAAAATCAAGTTTGACTGAACTGGGACCAAGAGAGAGGACTAGCACCTGCAGGCTGAGCGCCACGCTTGAAGTGAGGCTTGATGCGGTCAAACCCAATACGGACGCCGAGATAGGTGCAGTTGCCGTTGGGACCCCACACCGAGTCAAGCTTGTCCGCGGCAACGTTGTGGTCAATAGGGGAGAGATGCTCGACATCTTTATGTTCAAATGAGCCGAGGTTCTGCACCCACATGACGACGCTGGCGAGGTTAAGGCTGACCACGTAGCTGCCACCCTCTTGAGCGCGGCGGAGAAGGGCGCTCAGCGCCCCAGCAAAGCCCAAGATGCCTGCGAGGTAGTCATTGAGCAGGTACGTAGGCGGCAGTCGTGGAGCGGCAAAGCTGCCTTCTTCGGCCGAAAAGCCAGTGGCGGTGCAGGCGAGCTGATCAAATCCACCGCGGGTGGCCCACGGTCCTGTGCGCCCCCACCCGGTGATGTCGACAAAGATGATTCCGGGCTTGAGCTTGGCTAGCTCGTCGGCAGAGTAGCCTTTCAGCTCGAGGGAGCGGTAGTTGCACACGTAGATGTCGGCTTCAGAGATGATGTCGGCGAATCCGCGACGCCCGCTTTCCTCGTTGAGGTCGCAAAAAGCATTTAGCTTGCCGAGGCCAGTCTCGTTGAGCATAGCAGCAGAGTCTGGGTGGTCAGGGGACGAAATGTGGAGCACGTCGGCACCGAACTCTGCGGCCAGACGACTGACGATGGGAGCTGCAATCACATGGCCGTTGTCGAGCAAGCGGATGCCTTCCAGAGGCAGCGAGACGTTCTCTTTTGTCAAATCCGGCTGCGACAATGGCGAGAGGGGGAACGGATCGCTCTCGCCGATCTTGGTGACCGAGATGAGATCCTGCTGCAAGAGCGCCTTGCCTTGCGGATGCTCTCGCCACTCTTGGCGCGTGCGAAGCGCAATAGCACAGCCGTGGGACTGGTTGATGGCTTCTTCGAGCTCGAACGCGTTCCACTGTTCAATGCTCTTGGCGAAATCCTTCTTCTCCGGCGGGCATTGAAGCACTTGACACGCGGCATCGCGGAGGCGCGGATACGTGAGTAGCAGAAAGACGTGCCGGCCATCCTTTGTTGGATAGAAGTCACTGTTGTGGAAAAGCTTCGGATCCTCGAAGAGGCGCAACAGCGCCACGCCGTTGAGCTTAGTGTAGAAGGCGGCCGTGAGCTGCATGATGGCCTCGTCGACCGAGATGCTGATCTTGTCCAGGGCCGAGCCGCGCACGTGGGCTACCTGTGAGACGGCGGTGCCGGCAAGAGCCAGCGCAGCCGCGCAGGCATCGCCAATGCGGTGCGTTGAAGGCACCACCGGGTCTCGCCCCGTGATTGTAGCATTATGCTCGGAGAGGTCAAGCCCGATCTGCTTTCCCAGGTCCTGAAGGATGCTCTCCGTGCTGGGAGAGCTCGCAGAGACAGTCGGCGCCCCCGCAGAGGTGGTCATCGTGGGTGGATGTGGAAGAGCTCGTCTGGATCGAACTTCCGTTAGGCGTAAGGCATAGACGAAGACGATGGACAAGCACAAAGAAAGATGACGAGCCAGTCAGTCTGCACCCCAATCGAGGCTGCGAATCGATGCTGGCCGGGACAAGGAGGGCGCGAAGACTCAGCAGAACACCTTCGTTATATAAAAAATCAAGGCCACCTGCTTGCTTTGTCCCTATCCTTTGTTTGACGTAATGTTCGAGAGAGAATCGATGAGGGAGAAAGAGAGGGATCGGAACGTTCGGCCGACGGGTTCCGATTCTGGCGATTCACTGCCATCAGCTGTGTCGGGTCTTGAGCAGATCCTGTCAACGGAGACGCAGCGGTGAGCACGTAGGAAATCGCGCGTTTCTCTGATTCTGTCAAGGGCTTGACCAACTCGGTCCTTGCCAGCCAATGCGTCGGCCGGCAAGCTAGTCGATGGAAGGACCATAGCCGAGTGCCGAGCAAGCCGAACAACCGAACGTGCCAAGCCAGTGCCGCCTATCCGGCGGATTGGGATCACGTCACAAGTGAATGCCGGTTGCACTTTTTCCGAGCACGATCTCTACACTGCAGCTGAACTCACGTCCCCTTGAAAACACGGCCAAGCTCACAATGCAGTACTAAGAGACAGCTGCATCCGTCTCGATGCTGTCGCTTGTTGCTGTCGCTCGTTGCACAACACGACAGATAAGACTTGGATCACACGTGAAAAGACCTAATTCCTAGAATAATAATAAAAAAAGATTAAAGCCTCGGAAAAGGAGAAAGAACTGCGTCTTGTTGGCGGCCCGAGCTTGCATCAATGCCGAACTGAGGTTTCTGACTAGATCTTTGTCTCGCTCAGCTGGACTTAGACGGCGGAAAGCAGCCTGTTTCTAGGTCTATAATTCACAGTCGTGCCTGCCTGTCGAACCACGTTCGAGGATTATCTAATGCCGGCAGCCCTGGCTGGTCCCAGAGCTTCTTTCTCCCTCGACCATAGCGCCAAGCTACGGTCGGCCCAAGCAGGCCGCGACGCGTGTCCGTGTCCAGCGCCGGCAGTGTCGCTTCATTATTGCTGCTGCTGCTCTTCAGCTCCCACCTGACAGAGCAGCTTGCCCTCGGGCACCGTGTCGCCGTCCTGGACATGCAGGTGAAGCCTGCCCGCAACCTGAGCTCGAATGGTCGTTTCGATCTTCATCGACTCGCAAATGAGCAAAGCTCTGTGTATCACAACGACAAAAGGAGAAAGAGAATCAGAGTCAGCTATCCATCAAAGCATCGAAAACGTCGAAGCGCTGTGCCCAATACTCACTGTCCAGCCTCAACATCGGCGTTGTCTTCCACCAAGATCTTGAGGATCTTGGCAGGCATCGGTGTGACGTAGGCCGCCTTGCTCGCCGCGGAATCGTCCGAAGACTGGTTGGCCAGCGCGTAGGTGCGCATTCCGTGTCGCACCACCTTGATAGGACCGCAGAGCCTGGACGACCAGACCCATGCGGTCTGAGCGCTGGTTTCGTGGTCCTGGAACGAATGATCGGTCGCCAATACGTGGGTCGAGGTGATGCCGTCGATCTCGAGCGAGAGAGTGGCCGTGGCCCAGCGCGCGCGTCCCGTTGCTAGATGGGCGCCCGTCGTGGCGGGTAGCGACGAGAGCTGCACCTGCGACGAAGTGAGCAGCGTGGAACGCACTTGGTGCACCTCGCTCTGCTGCACACCCAGCTGCCAATCGCCCCTGGCACGGCCCTCAAGCCCATCGCGCGTAGGCAGCGAGCCGTAGAACTTGGCCGTAGCGCGGCTCGCCTTGAGCTCCGCCGCCAACGCCTTGGACTTGGACTTGCTGCCGCCATACTTTTCCTTGATGCGGTTCTCGGCCTTCTGCACCGCCTGGCTCGAGTGGTTAGTCCAGATCTTGAGGTTATAGTCGCCGTTGCCGCCATCGTATTCGACCATGACATCCCATTCCTGCCCACCGTCAGGCAGAGAAATGACAAAGTTTTCCGTCTTGGACACGCTGCGGTCGCACCCGCTCACCAGGCCGAAGCTGGCCGGCAAGCCGCTGCGAGTTGGGTACAGCTTGCTGCGCAGCTCTTTGAAAAGGTGAAATGAGGGTACGATTGTCGCCAGCGGAAGGGCCGTCTCCTTGGGGCCCGTCGAGAGAGCGGATGACGCAAGCTCCACGGGCAGGTTGAGCAGCCAGTCAAGGTTCTTTGGGATGAGCGACGTGTTGTAACTGCCATCGGCAAAGCTGGGATGGCGTAGACAGGAGCTCATAAAGGTCATGTTGGTGGGCAGCCCGATCAGCACCGAAGTTTGCAGTACCTGGAGCATCTTTTCGATGGCAGCGGGCCTAGTGGCAGCGTGCACGATCAGCTTGCCCAGCATGGCGTCGAAAAAGATGGAGACTGTTGTGCCCACCCGGATGCTGGTGTCGAAGCGCACTCCCGGTTGACCCAAGCAGAGGACCTCGAGCATCCTTACAACGCCCGTTCGCGGCGTGAAGTCCTGTCAATAGAGAGGATCGTTTATTGAAGAGGGATTCACACTGTCAATATCCATTCGGTGAGCTGTTGCGTGCCGATCCATGCTAAACTTACAGCACCAGGCTCCTCGGCACAGACACGGCACTCGATCGAGTGTCCGAAGGGTGTGAGATTGGCGACAGGCGCCAGCTTGGAGAGATCTCCGTCGCCACCGACATAGATACCGAGGCTGACCAGGTCGAGCCCGCTGCACATCTCGGTCACGGGGTGCTCGACCTGCAGACGTGTGTTGACTTCGAGAAAGAAGAACTCCTTGGTCTTGGTATCGAAGATGTACTCGACCGTGCCTGCACCCTGATAGGAGAGAAGCGATCCGATGGTGATGGCCGACTGGTGGATGCGCTTACGCAGCTCCGGGTCCTGCTCGCAGTCGACCGCAGGTGACTCCTCGATGATCTTCTGGTGTCGGCGCTGAACGGAACAGTCACGCTCGCCGAGGGCGTACACGTTGCCGTGGTTGTCGCCAAAGATCTGCACCTCGATGTGCTTTCCGCCCTCTATGTAGCGTTCGAATAGCAGCTCGTCCGAGTTGAAGTTGCGCTGGGCTTCCGAACGTGCACGTGCGATCTCCGAAGCGAGCTGGCTTGGCTCGCGCACGATGCGCATGCCTCGCCCACCGCCTCCTGACGAAGCCTTGATCATGAGTGGGTAGCCGATCTTGCTCGCCGTCTTAAGGTCAATCTCGGCGGTGCCGTGGTATCCGGGAACAAGATGGGCCTGGTCACCCAGCTTTTCCTGGAGGAGGCGCTTTGAGCGGCTCTTTTCGCCGATGGAGCGCATCACGTCTCCGCGCGGGCCCAGGAACCTGATTCGACCTGTGGCGGCTACGGCATCGGCGAATTCGGCATTTTCTGAGAGATAGCCGTAGCCAGGATGGAGCGCGTCGCACTGGTGCGCAAGCGCAACATCGATGAGCTTCTTGATGTTGAGGTAGGGGTTGTTGTCGGTGGCCATGGGACCCACGTTGACCGCGATAGTGGCGTGGGCCACAAACTCGGCCGAAGCGTCGACTTCGGTGTAGACCACGACGGTCTCGACGTTCATCTGCTGACAGGTGCGCACGATTCGCAGTGCAATCTCGCCACGATTGGCGATCATCACCCTGCGTACCGGCCTGGGGCCATTGGGCGCGATGAAGAGCGGCTTGCCCTCCACCGTGTGTGGGTTGGGAGGTAGTAGCTTGGACATTTCTGCTGTTGTGGCTGTAGCTGTGGTGTTTATCCCGTTCTCGATGTCGCCAGCCTAGGCTTTCTTCTCCTTTGACGAAGGTCAGAATAATCGGTCGGGTTAGGGATGATGTTGGATCAGAAGCGGAGAGAGAGGATGTAGACGAGCTGATCGTGGAAGAGGGTCTCTGAAGTAGTATGTTGCGTTAGGGAATTGGGGTTTCACCAAGTAGTCGGTAATATATCGAACGGTGTCTTTCGATCCCTTACCGCCCTGCTCCACGCACTCTCTGGCGGCTCCCAGGCGTGATTGCCGTCGTGTTCCGAGCATTTCAGGGACAGCAGTGCTGAGGATCAGATGGGCACCCGCAAAGCCGCACTGAGCTGGTGTGAAACCGGTCTGTTCAACCCCGGTTTGCACAGGAATAGCGTTCAGGTTCCGTGTCGACGTCGCAGCTTGCTTTCTCACGGGCAGCTGCCCGCCCGCTACCCCGAGATAAAGTCAAACAAGGCTAAGAAGGCAGAAAAAACAGCTCTGAAGCACATGGGTTCGCTGATACTCCTTCTAGCCAGCTAAAGAAGCATTGCAATCGATGCAATAGGTGGACTCCGAGAGGCATGCATTGAGTCTAGCCGGCACCGTGTGGCAGGAGGCACATGGCTCCCTCGCGAGCGGCACGCGAGGACAGAAGCCACCGTGACACAGGTAGCGCCAAGCGCAGCACGTGAGACTCACAAATAGGCGCACGACGGTGTTGCGTGACGCAGCGCCAGAACTGGTGCAGGGCACAAGTATCAACAGCTCACCCGAGGAACAGCTTAGCGCGGCACCTCACGACGCACAGCCGAAGCGGATCGTTTGCCTGTACCGGGCGCGAATCTTCGATCCGTTTCGGGCAATTCGCTATGATGCGAAACCCCTGTCTTGATACTGTTGCGTACAGCGGTCGATCTGCGAGCGTACAGTCCTCGCGGCGAGCTATGATATGCACTCTCAGTTAGGGAGCGTAGAGGAAAGATGTCGTCCTCTGCGTTACCGTGCTTCTGATGAGCAAGGCAGCAACAGCATAGCAGACGCAGCATCATAGCAAAGGCAAACTGTCGCCGTCGCCATTCACGTGTCTCGAGGAAAGGAGGCGTATGGCGAGACGCCCACTTTGTCTGGTCCCGCGCTGCCGTGCGTGCTGATAAGATCCGAAGCTTCGGAACACTGATTTGGCCTGCGTGCAAAACAAGAAACTAGCCCTGCATCGCAGCAGGAAGCCAGCCGGCACGCCGGATTTTCGGATGCTAATTTCAGCTTGATCGCAAGCTCGCGCGGATCTGAGTGACGCGGTGCCAGCAGCCGAGGGTTCCGACTGGGAAGGCGCATTTCGACCAAATGCACTGGGCGTCGACGTGCAGATCGCTGCAGTCAAACTGTCGTTTTCCGCTGCACCGGGTAGCCGTCGGATAGCCGCCAATTGGCTGACTCGACGCCAAAGCCAATCAGTCCCAGTGCAGACCCGATGCCAGTCCGGCTTTCCTCGACTGTCGCCGCTGCACCTTCCGGGACTCATCGAAACATGTGCGCTTCATGGCCGGACCACCACACGCAAATGTTCAAACATCGTCACGTCATTCCAGTGGCAACAAGGTCGGGGAATCTCGAAGCAATCTATGCGCCTGCTGCTCTGAGCTCAGAGGCGGGCCTGTGCGGGAGCTGTCGCCTTGGCTGCCTTGCGCTGGCGGTACCAGCCGAGGATGCGCTCGACCACATCGTGTGTGTAGCCCTTGTACATGTGGTCCGAGCCATGGATGAGCTGGATCTGCTGTGAATCATGCGATCGACGTGGGATACTAGAAAGCTCTTTCAGATAGCTGCTTGCGTCTTGCACCGGGACCGTGCGGTCCTTAGTACCGTGGACAAGGAGTCTGACGGGTGGCGGTGTATTGCGAGGAGGTGGAGATGGTGTCAGTCGTGGCTTCGGAACAAGGAAAGAGGAAAATGCAGACTTACACGTCGGTGTTTAAGGGCAGGCGCTTGACGATGCTACGGATAGGGAAACTCGCCATGCGCGAGAGGTCCGAGGGATAGACCGGATACTCTCGTTGCACCCCAGCACTCTTCGTGCGCCAGCGGAAGACGCCTTCCTTTTCGAAGCCAGGCTTGTACACGTCATATCTGTCCAGCACACGCGGCATATCCCAACGGCCGGACACGGCGACGAGGTAGGGCACATCCGTGTCGTCGTCCCAGCGAAGGCGCTCATCGCGGCCAATATACGCCCAGGCATCCAGCGAGCCGCGCGAGTGGCCGATTATGAGCTCGATACGGTAGCCCAGCTGGTGGCGCAAGTGGTACACCACCGCTTGCAGGTCCTCGATGTCATTCGCGATGTTGCACATTCCCCACGCACCGCCCGTCTCTCCGTTGCCTCGAAAGTCGAAGCGAAAACTGTCCATCGGGAGCGCGACGGCGAGCTCGCGGTGATAGCTTTGGTTCTTGTGCGCCATGAGGCCGTGGAGGATGAGCGCTACATCGCTGGTTCGCTGCTGTGTCGAGTAATGATGATGCAGAATGCCGACAATGTCTACACCCGTCTGCGCAGATGGAATGCGCAACGTCACCTCGTGCTCGGTGCTCGGCATTTCTCTGGCAGCTTGCATCCTGTACAGCACGCTTGATGAAGGTCGAAGTAGTGGTAGCGAAAGTATCGGGAGCAACTGTGATGCTATTGGTGCTTCCGATCGAAGAACAGAGTGCTATGTAATATAAGGAGACGGTCTGAAGAGAAGACGAGGCCCTTCAACGTGGAGAATGTCGGCAAGGAGATGAGGCAACGCAGAGCCGTCATCTGCCGTCGGCGTGTGCGTTCCCTCGCAAAATGCTTCGGCTACTCTGCCTTGGCTGCCGAGCCGCCATTGAAACAGCCGCGACACCGCGTCACGCATGGTCGAGCGCACAGGGGGGCCCAGTGCACTGCGCGGCGTGGCGCTCCCGGTACGTCCAAGAGCTTCTCGTGCTTGCCACGTGTTTCGATCGATCACGATTGACCGTCTCCAAGGCCCAATGCTGCTCCTACGCCCAACGCCAACGAAAGTTCGACTGTGAATACATCACGCGCGTCGTGCACGCGCCTGCTCGGCATAGCATCCGCACCAGCAGGCAAGTCGATGTCGGCGCAGCCTTGTTGTGAGCTGCGATCGTGGTGATTGTGACTCGAATAGGTATTCGCGCGCTTCTAGCCGCTAAGCAAACATAGAGTGGCTGTTGGCCGAGTTCGCTCTTGGCCGAGTTCGGACTCGAAGCAGTAGGGCGGTTGATGAGAACTAAATCGCCGCTCTCACCGACTGACAGCTTGGCAGCCTGGACTATTGGTTTCTCGCGCGCCATAAAAATGCAAACACGCAAAGATGACAAGAAAATCTGTCAAAAGATCATGACCGCTCACGGATGTAGTGAATTTCAGGTTAGGGGGGTTCCAACGGACGCCATTGGGTGGTTT